GTTCTATGTGAGATCAAGATGTAAAGTCAAAATCAATAAAGACAACACATAATGTCAAATGGAGTTCAATGGAATCCCTGATGATGGTGTCTATCAAATAAGTTGTATAAAGCCTTATCAATCAAAATAGTCAAGTCCTAAATAAAGTGTCGAATCAATGACGAATCAAGCAATAGATCTTGAAGCTTTAAGGTTGCGAAAGAGAGAAAGTGTGAAAGCTCACTTGGTCTATGTATGAGTGATCAATGTATTATAAAGATATAAGAGTAATTCTAAAATTACTAAGGAAACTCACACACTCACCTAAAATATTTTATACCACTTTGAATTTGCTAAAACACCTTAAAAACAATGGAAGAACTATCAAGGTGCATGTATAATTGATCAAGAGCATTCATAATCATTTATGAAGCATTTGTACACTACCTAATTGACCAGGGACTTAATCCAATCGATTAGAAATAATTATAACCATTGTAGGGTTTCTATTTTAAGATTAGGATTCTCGTATTTTTGAAACTCTTAATCGATTAAACTTAGTACTTAACCAATTAAGTCATTATAAGGTCCATGTATCTTTTCCTTTTTGAGCCAAACTTTTTTCCTCTAAATAAAGAGTTTCTCCTCATTTTAAAATACACAAAAAAAAACTTATTTCAACCATACTTTCTCACATTCTACTATCTCTACTTCATTTCTTTCTTTTTCTTTACAAAATTGTCTTAGTCTTTGAGAGTGGAAAATATATGTATGGTATTTGTTGTTCTGATGCAATAAGAGTATTGTAATTTACTCAAGAGCTTCATGCCTATTATGTAATATCTTTGAAAGGAGTTGTTATTTGGTTCTTGCAAGTAAACCAATTAAAAACTTTGTTTTATTCTTGAGATTAACCAGGTAAAATCTATGTTTAGGTTTGTGAGCTAAGCTTGTTAAAAGACCACATTTGGTTATTGAGTTCAGCCGTTAAAAACTTTGATTGGTTCTTGAACTCAACCCGGTGTAAAAGTTCTGCTAGGTTATATGAAGTTATCCCATTATAAAAGCTCACATTTTGTTTAGGGATTAACACATATAAAATCTTTTGTTAGGTTGTAAGAAGGTTCGTGGGCATAATCTGTGAAAAGCTCACATCTCATATAGTGAAAACTCTTAATAAGAAATTATTGGCGACATGACTAAGTCAAGTGGTTAGGCAGAACCTGTCTAAATCTAACATGTCACATTTTAATTTAGGTGGAGCAAAAATACTTAACTAGCAAAAGCATGTAAATTGTGTGTTTGGTTCTGCGGTGAAAAATTGATCTAAAAGTGAGTTGAAGATAAAGTAGTTTATGTTTGTATAAATTCTTGCAAAATTGATTTGAACAATAATTTTAGTGAAAAAAAATCACATTTAGACTTTAAAGCTATGAAACTTACCTTCAAATTGAATCAATTAAAAATAAATAAATTCTTCTCGAAACCAACTAAACATATCAAAACTAATTATACACATTTTAAATCAATTTTGAGTGTTCCTTCCATGAAACTAAATATGCATTAAATTAAAGACAAAATAGTTAAGACTCTCTTTTAATAAATTATAAATTATTGTGAAAAACGATATCTTGAAACAAAGTATAAACATTTTCTTTATGATCAAGAAACACACAAGGGTTAGGGTTAACAAAAAAACAAGAAGAATAACAAGGACTGGTTATAATTGCTATTCTTTACTTTCTCTTTGAATCAGATTACAAGTACTCAAGAATAACAAATAACCCTCTCACCCTAATTAGGATTTGCCACGTACCTGCTTATAAGGATGAGAGACTATCGTGCTATTTATAAGAAAACTAACATACTAACCTAATGGGTTTTTTCACATAGGCCCATTACAGAAGTTAACTTAAACAATTGGGCTTACAACCAAGACCCAATTCAATATACTAACTTAAATTACAAGTTAATATATTAACAATATGCTTAAATAGACTTCGACTACAACATACAAGATCAGTATGTGAACAGACTTCAACTTCATACTAAACCTTCTTTCGAACTATGAAACTATCTTTGTTGACACTAGAGTTTGATCTAAATACCACAAATCTCCACCTTGAAACAAACTTTACACTAATAAGGGAACAAACTAGTTTTCATCATGCAGTTTTATCAATTGCATACAGTGAAAAAACTTGCTACTCGACAATGTCTTCTCCTTCTCCGATAGGCCAACGTCCATCTTCTCTGATCCTTTCAACGCTTCTAACAAATCCTACTGAACAAGAAGAGTTTGCATTTTCAAGCGCCACAAACTGAAATCATTCACACCGGTGAATTTCTCAATCTCATACTTTGTTGATGAAATCTTATACTCCATGTTCACCGCACTAATTTGTTGTGAAAAACGATGTATTGAAATAAAGTATAAACGGTTTTTTATGATTAATAAGCACACAAGAATTAGGGTTAACAGAAAAACAAGAAGATTAACAAGGATTGATTATAACTGCTATTCTTTACTTTCTCTTTGAGTCAAATTACTAGTACTCAAGAATAACAAATAACCTTCTCACCCTAATTAGGATTTGCCATGCACCTGCTTACAAGGATGAGAGACTAACATGCTATTTATAAAAAAACTAACATACTAACCTAATGGATTTTTACACGCAGGCCCATTGCACATGTTAACTTAGGGAACAAACTAACTTAAACAATTGGGTTTACAAGTAAGACCCAATTCGACATAATAACTTAAATTACAAGTTAACATATTTTGACAATATGCTCGAACAGACTTCGACTACAACATACAAGATCAACATGTGAACAGACTCTGACTTCATACTAAACCTTCCTTCGAACTATGAAACTACCTTTGTCAACACTAGAGTTTGATCCAAATACCATATAAATCGATTATATATTTTATTTTTAACATACATCAATCAAACTTATCATTTTTTTTCTCACATCTTATTTATGTTTTTATTAGTTTAAAAACACCAAAAAAAATCAACTCATTATTTAACCTTTTTTATGAGAAATTAACGAAACGCACAATGAAAATATTTAAATTCTTTTTAAGACGAGATCACTTAAAAAGAATCACACTTGACAACTATTAGTTAAATTATCGACTAATTTTCAAATTCTATAATACTATTTTTTGTTTGTTTTTTATATTAAATAAACTAATATTATTCTTAATCTAGCAATCGCACCCTATAAAATAAAATTATTTTTTAAAAATGTTATGATTATTTTTAAAATTTAATCAAGGCAAAATATTCTTTTCCGTCCTTTAACTTTACTTCGCGGTCCATTTTAGTCCCTTAATTTTAAAAATTTTCAAATTGATCATTTAATTTTTTAAACAACTTCATAAAAGTCATTTCCGTCTATTTTGCTCAAACGACGTTTGTTTATGCATGCGTGACAGACGAGTTGACAATGAACAATCACTAGAAATCCAAAATAAAATTCCAAAAATTTTCCCTTCAGTAAGAATCAGATTAGGTTCATCATAATTACATAGAATGATGGTGTACCAATAGGCTATTTCATATTTGTTTATTTTTTTTACAAACAGTACCTATAACACAATCTTAGACATCATTAACTTATGTATTAGAAACATCACTGCCTCTATCTAACCAAGATTTTATGTCACCTCAGAGGGCATCACAAGTTCTCTGGCACACTGAAATGCTTTCAGAACCGATACCAAATGGGTTATACTTAGTTGTTCTGGTGATGATTGATTCATAATATATTACTTTACTAGTCAGATATACGTAATTATATTTGGTATGAATGCATGAGCTTGGAGTATTTTGGTCGATTATGTCATGCCACAAATTGGAGATATTAATTGATTTGGTATGATTTAGAAACAAGTTTATAAGAAAATAAAGTTTCTTTAATTAGTTGAGACATGAGAATAATTAATTTAGTTGGAACTCCTAATTATTGTCGCCTAGGAGAAAAATAGAAAATAAAATATCAATTTTCATTTAATCATCCTTTTTGAGAATTTTTTCTTTGATTATCTTCGTGTATTATTCTTTCTTAATTATAAATTTCAATAAAAATTGAAAAGAAGACCCATAAGTGAAACATTTTTTTTATGAAACTTTCAGAGTTATTCAAAGTTTACAAAATGCAACATTGAGCTCAATTAATCAATTATATAAGTTGTAGGAAAAATAATATACCATCTTCTTTTTCTATACCCTTTTGCTGCAATTGCCAGATCTCTCGTTGAAACACTAATTTCTCAATACTCTTTCTTAAAGGATTATCAGCAGCATCGAACAATTGTCCAACACTTACACAGTGTGCAAATTTTGGTGAGTTGGAGAAATATCCTTAATCTCAAACCTCGAACCCGTAAACCTAATTCAAACCATGGATTTCTCTCAACAACTTCAATTTTTGAGTTTCGTATTTCAACTTGATTTTTTTAGGGTTTAGGGTTTGTTGTTGGTGGGGAGTGGGAACAGGGTTGAAAAGAACAAAAGTGAACAAGATGTCTTTTTCTTCTTCTGAATTTTGCTATTTTTTCATTTTATAGAAATATTATTAATTATGAAGTATATAAAATGACATTCATCTTGACAAAATAAATGTACACATGTCATTTTAGATTTCACGTCAGACCCACATAGATTATTTAGTTGACTTTGACTAACAGTAAACGGAAATAACTAACGCGATAGTATTTGAACTATTAAAATATCAATTCAAAATATTTTAAAATTAAAAGACTAAAATAAAATCCGACAAAAAATTAAAGGAAAAAAAATATTTTTCCTTTAATCAATTAAAAAACACTAGAATATAAATGTTAAAACCTTTTAAAATCTTAATTTAAACTTTGACACATATCATATAAAATCAATAATACATGCCTATATACAATTTTAAATATCATTATACTAATAAACAAATAACAAATAAAAAAACGTAGTATTAGATCTTAGAGACAAACCCTGCAGTGTCTCACACAAATGCTTGGTTTTACGGCAATGGCATCAGGGGAGTCAAAATTGCCACTTCAAACTCAAAGGTTGCAAATTTACCCCAAACCAAATTCTGGGGTCTCCCCCTTTTGGAGAGGTACTTGTTTCTTTCTCACGCTCTTCCTTCCCAGTGAATTCCTGAATAAAATATTTATCTCTTTGCTTTTGGGTTGCAGAAAAGTATGAAAGAGAAGCCAAGCGAAATTGGGATGTTTTCTATAAGCGCCACAAGGACAAGGTTTGTGTTTTGTAACCAATTATTTAACTTGATTTGATGTGATTTGACTATAGTGATGATACTTTTCTTTCTTCAGTTTTTCAAAGATAGACATTACCTGGATAAGGAGTGGGGAGATTACTTTTCAGTGAGTTGAATGATTAATAGCTTAATTTTTAAGTTGATTTATGTTTTTTCAATGCGTTTTTTCTTTTCTTCATGTGCTAATGAGTTAAGTAATCTTAAATTTCAGGGTGGAGGGAAGAAAGTGATTTTGGAGGTAGTGAATTTGCCCGCATTATGTTTTTTCACTTCTATGGTTTAGAACTTATAACTTTATTATATATAGGATTAGCCTGATCGGTTTGACTTATTCGAGCTTATCTGCTTATAAACATTCGTGAGACTGTTTGGGAGAATTTATGTAAACAACTATTGTTTGACAAGATATTTCAAAAGTTATCCGTTGTTTTCAGCTTATTTCTATAAGTTCTCTGGGATAGTCTATGAAAATAGCTTATAGCTTATACGAAAGCAATTTTACTTATTTATCTTGTGTTATAGAAATAGCCTATAAATAAGAACTTATATCATAAGGGCTTATGCTATAAACACTTAATTAAGTTGGTTATTCAAACATGACATAAATAATGATAAGAGTTGTTTATTGAACAGGTTGGTTGTGGAGCTGGAAATACCATCTTTCCTGTGATTGCTTCGTATCCAGATGCTTTCGTTTATGCATGTGATTTCTCACCAAGAGCTATTGAATTGGTTAAGGTTGAAAATCTGCTTTATGTAAACTTAAACTCTCTGTCAAATCATCATTTCCTTGTTGTATAATGTTGCATAGTTACTTGACTTGGCCATAAGCTTTTTGATTCATTCTTGATCTATTCTTGTTTTTGTTTATATAGATCTAATTAGAACAAATTCGCATTCCTTATGGCAGGCGCATGAAGATTTTAAGGAGTCCCATGTCCACGCTTTCGTTTCTGATTTGACAGCTGATGACCTATGCAAAGAGATCACTCCATCTTCTGTTGATATTGTTACAATGGTATCTAAAATTCTGTATGACAGATATACCTCATGTTTACAGTTTATGTAGAGTGATTATGTGATCGTATTACCTTTGTATGTTCGAGACTATCATGTTCTATGAAGCACTGACACATGCACAGACACGATACTGACATGTAGACGCTTGAAATAGTTTAAGAAAATGACAATGATTGAATCTAACTATATGTGTCAATATCGGTGTTGGACACTGACACGCCTTCAACCTATAGTGTTAGTGCTGCATAGATAATTTTCTTGCCATATTTCATATAACTTCGGTTTTACTATTATTGAATATTATTTATGACTCTTAGTTAATTACCTGACATGGTAAGCAGATATTTATGTTATCTGCAGTGTCCCCGGAAAAGATGCCTCTAGTTTTGCAGAACATTAGAAAAGTTATCAAAGTAAGAAATAGTTACATTTAGTACTTGTGAATTCGTTATAATTTTTCTCAAACCTTGCTAAATAACTTGTTCATGTGTGAATTGTGATGATAATAATACCCTTTCTCCATTTACAGCCAAGTGGATATGTGCTGCTGCGAGACTATGCTACTGGAGACCTTGCTCAGGTTGATTTTATCGTAACTCTTCTACTAGAAAACATACAAGTTCTCAATTATTATCCAGATCATGATTTGTATATGTATTTTTATGTTCTATAGGAGAGATTCTCCGGCAAGGATCAAAAGATAAGTGATAACTTTTATGTTAGAGGTGATGGCACTGTAAGTTTTCAGTTCTGTTCATGTTAGCGTAGTTCACATGCGAGTTTCTTATTTTCTAATGTAATACTACTTTTTTGTTTCGTATTCAGCGCGCTTACTATTTTTCGAACGAGTTCTTGACAAGTTTATTCAAAGAAAATGGTTTTGATGTTCACAAACTTGACGTATGTTGCAAAGAAGTTGAGAACCGGTCAAGGGAGTTGATAATGAAACGGTAATACTTTATACTACATGTCCGTTTTTGCTCGATGTATCATGAGACCAAAACTTTATGAGTTGTCTTTTTTTCTTTCTTTGTTTGGCGGTTTCAGGCGTTGGATCCAAGGTGTTTTTCATGTTTCAGATGGTTCCGTCTCTTCTTCCAGTAAAGAAGCGGAGGCCAATCATCTTGATAGCGATAACAATATTGGCACAGCAATCAATCAAAATGATTATGGTAGTTTAACCGAGACTGTAATTGACATGTCCGAGGGAGTTGCGGCTGACATGTTTGGCGTCTTGCCTTCCAATGAGTATGAGGTTATTGAGATCAAACTTAGAGGCTGGAGTTTCAAGATTAATTTACTCTCAAAAGAGTACCAACACACCTGCAAATCGACTGGTTTGATGCTTTGGGAATCGGCTCGATTAATGGCTTCCATCCTTGCAGAAAATCCCAACATTGTTGCAGGAAAAAAGGTATTGGAGTTAGGATGCGGCAGTGGTGGAATTTGCTCTATGATTGCTTCTAGACACGCCGATCAAGTAGTTGCTACAGACGGAGATGATTTTGCACTTGACCTATTAGCCAAAAACGTTGCATCGAATATCGAATCACCACTGCTGGATAAACTAACTACGAAAAAACTTGAGTGGGGAAACAAAGATCACATAGAAAGCATAAAGAAATTGAGCAACGGAGGGTTCAACGTCATCATCGGCACCGACGTTACATATGTTCACGAAGCCATATTGCCTTTATTTGCAACTGCGAAAGAACTTATTGCTTGCAGTGGAAGTAATACAGACGATAATGTTTCTGCACTTATTCTTTGCCATATTTTTCGCCGTGTTGACGAACCGACATTGCTTTCAGCTGCAGCGCAATTCGGGTTTAGATTAGTAGACAGGTGGCCTACTACCGGAAATTCGACCGAAACGTCTCGAAGCGTTATTGATAATTGGTTTGTGGAGAATGATTTGAAGAATGATCTTCCTAGTGCAGCATTAAACATCTTGCTCTTCTGCAAAGATTGAAATCAAATTTTGTACTCTAGCTTGAACTAATGCAAGGTGTTTTCTTGATTAATTTATTAATTGTGGAGTATTCCACATTCCATTTAAGCTCATTCTTAGAACTTAATAACTCAACTTATTAATAAGCTCATTCTATTTTAAATTTTTTTATCTCCTATCAAAAGTTATAATCTGTCAATATGATGACACAACTCTCCAACAATCATTGTTCCACTAAATTTAATGTAAAAAGTTTGGTAACTTAATTAAAAAAAATCATTTTCCAGAAGAAAAAAAATGATAAATTCCTGAAATGTTGTTGGATAAGTCAAAATAGTGTTTAGTGATGACCAGCTTAATGGGCTTTTATCCATTCCTGTAAGAATAGTGACTGAGATGATTATTTGTCTTTCAAAAATATATTTTTTAATCGAAATAATAATTCACTCTTCTGAACATTTTCATTAAAAATTATTATTGTTTAATAATTTTTGTTTTATGCTGCCTAAATAATGTTTTGTTGTGAGAAATATAAGGGATTGAGAATAGTTGTTTTGAATCTATCTTTTCTTTTTCATCAATATTTTGAAGGAAAGGAAAATAACTTAGAATATATCAATTTTTTTTTTTTAATTTTTAACAAATGCTTAGACACAATTGGTTTATAAATTTTAATGATGATTGAATGATCGACAATATTCGACTTTTTATATTAAAAATATTATTATTTGAGTTATGTTTGAAAAAGAAAGTACATGTAATAGTGAGTTTATACTAAAAATAATTATAACCATACTCTTTTATATATTTGTTTAAAAAATTAAATTATAACACAGAACAAAAGTCATTTGGATTGAGTATTAGACAAAATAGAGGTCAAGTCAATTTAATTGACGTCTCCTACAGGCCAAGCCAATCTAATTGGCGCCTACGAATAAGTTGCAGGAGGTGACGTCAATTCATCTAACTTCAATTTAAATTTTTTCGTAATTAAAATAATTAATTAATTAAAAAATTGAATAAATACTATTAATATTTAATTTAAATTGGATTACATACGAGAATATTTTTTACACTAATGATAACGACCCGCTTGATCATACATTTCACGGTTCCACACTTTCGAAGTACCTTTTCTCGTACAGGTCTCGATTGATTCACATGCTGAGGTGTTCGATACGAGGTCCCTGGAGTGTCATCATCCCAGATTCCCTAAGAATTTATTGTAATTCTACGTGGTCTGGTGTATGCATTAACATGTTGCCGTAATCGAGTTTGTTGCTCATGTTGTTGTAGTTGGATTATGTTGTTTGGGTTGATGAAGTTATTGGTGAGCGCCCTGGTCGAATGAATGACGACATGAGTGTGAATGCTTCGTTGGAGAAAGGTAGAAATGGTTCTTATGGTAATTGGTAGCCATATGCTTGTTGGATGTTTTGGTGATGTGATGTTTGAGTGTCTTGGCTATGGTAAAAAATGTTGGTGTTATACGTTTCTTGGGTGTTTTGGATATGGTAGAAGGATGTGTTTGTGACATATGTTCTTTGGTGTTTTGATAATAATCGTGTTGTTGTTGGTGGTATGTGGTATACTCTTGGTTTAATGGTTAGGTGTATGACATGTATTAGTTGTGTGTTTGGATGTTTGTGGGCTGGTAATTTTATTGGATAGTGTGTTATATGTTAGTGGTTTGGTAATTTTGTTAGGGGTTAGATGTTGAAGTTTATTGTGTGTAAATGGTTTGACATGGATTGTATAAATACATATCTTTAGATAAAACCCTATTGTAATCGATCTATACCAATACATATAATAATGAGTTTATTTAGTTTGAGTTGAAATGACAATGTCAGTTAAGACCAATTGATGACGGTGCCTCCATTGATGACACTCAACTTTAACGAAGTATTTTTAATTGTCAAAGTTCCATTATTCCGATACTATACTTTGATGTCATTGTTCGAGGCACCTTGGGGGATTTGGGATTTTTTGATGCATGCCGAACTACAGTTTCTCATGATCACTGTGGTACATCTCCACATTGGTGAATCTGATGATTGATGTTGTTGCATTCTAGATGGTTGCATCTTCTTCATTCCTTTCATGTTCCAGAACCACATATAGCCTTCAAACAAATTGTTGAGGAAAAATAAATTAGATCAGTAAATATTTAATATTAAAAATAAATTATTATAAAATGATTAGTTTAGTGACAATACATTGTTGAAAGCCTATTATTCAAATTGATGGAACATGATTGTATGGGAAATACAAGGGCACATTACATATGGCAGTGGCTCAAAACGGCAACAGTAATATCTTTTCCATTGTCTTCGCTCTAGTTGAAGGTGAAATTGGTGGTGATTGAAGTTTCTTTCTCAAGAATCTCATAAATCACATTGTTCCACAACCCAACCTCTATTAGATTTCTGACATACACACATCTATTGAGAATACATACAATAATACTAATAATGATTGAAAAAATCTTCCTTCTACCCATGTTTAATGCATTAGACGTATTGCACAAAACTTCATTCGAGAAATCAAAGATAAGAGTCTTCAAAAAAAATTGTGAACGCGAGATATGCTTTAATTCAATCATCATTCAGACACTACCACGAGGAAATTAGATTGTCAAATGCAGATGCATTAAGGTGATTCGATAATATTTCAGTGGAGAAGTGGACTTGGGCACTTGACAAGGATCAACGATGGAGCCACATGATAACAAACCTTGTAGAATAAAATAACTTTGTCTTCAAAAATATTAGAAACCTATCCATAATTGCGTTGGTGAGAGCAACCTATTTTAGGTTGGGATCATTGTTCACAATCAGAGGCAAAAAATAGAGTTCAGTGTTACAAGTGGTGCAATTGTTAAGTGAAAGCTGCATGAAATTTATAAAGAAGGAAACTATCAAAGCTGACACACATGTGGTTACAAGATTTGGCCATTATAAATACAATTTCAGTGTAAAATAGACAATTGACCATAATGAGGAGAGCTCAAAGGGATACTATCAAGTCGACCTACATAGAGGTTGGTGCGAGTGCAAAAAGTTTCAAGCATTCTGTATGCCTTTCTTACATATCATTACGGCATGTTAAAGTATTCTCTAAGACACTTTCTTGCATCTATCTGTCGTTTACAAAGTCATAAATGTATTTGGTGTATACAACAATAGCTTCCGAATGGTAGCAAAAGAGGAATATTGACATACATATCACAAAGATATACTTTGTCCCAACAGAAATATGAAAAAGAAGAAAAATGGTCGCCCCAACAACACGTGTATTAGAACCGAAATGAATACGACTGACAAATTAGAAATAAAGTGTGGTATATGCCGTCAACCCGAACATACGAAAACATCTCTGAATGATAATTTATTATGTTATTAAATTTTATGTAACCTTGGAATTTAACATAGATAACAATTTTCGGTTACAACAAAATGAACATAAACACACCTAAAACCACAATACAAACAACAAATAAAAAGACTTAACATCATAACATTTCCAAAAGATTACAACAAACAAAACAATATCATCTGGTGCAGACATCATATCTCTGACATCGTTGTCATCTTTAGCAGGTATCCACATACACTGAATATCATCATTATCATCCACAATAGAGATGGATGAAACAAGTCTATAAATACTTCTAATTCATTCACCATCATTAATCTCTCCATCTAATCAAATGATCAAGTTCCTCTCAAGTTGCTCGAAATTTTGGATGTTCCAAAAACGCATCTTCATCAGAGGTGTGGTTCCTAAAAAACAAACATGCCCATGTCTTTTACTATTCATGTTAGAGCAAGTAAAAAAAAGATTTAAAAAATGAGAAGATGTGTGAAAAAAAATGGTAAAAGGCACACCTTTATTTATACTAAATAATATCTATTAAAATACATTTTAAAAAAAATTGCAACACATTGAAGCCTATATATAGTCGCCAATTAAATTGACTTGTCCCATAAAAGACACCAATTCAATTGATTTGACCTCTATTTTGTCAAATATATGCACCAATTCTATTAACTTGTACTTTCTATTTTGCAATTATTTTGTTTGAAATATAAATAGTTTGAAAATTAATAAATAGTATAAAAATTAATGAAAAAACATAATTATTTGAGAAATTTTATTGAAAAACATGGTTATCATTTTGATTATTATTTATAATTATGGAACAGAGAGTAAGATACTAACATTTGTTTATCCTCATCTCTTGTTCCATTTCATCCCAAACACTGCATTAAGAAGTATTTCTTGGAATGTTACTTTAATTCAACAAATCAATTAAACCAATTAAATTTGATCTCTTCCACTATACCACTGAGAAATGAAAACAAGGACCACTCTATAGCAACATTCACTTTCTCTGCACTCAAACTGAAACATTTTATTCCATTTTTTCCTATTAAAAGACTATAAAATGAAGCCTTTAAACAGTTATAAATTCATCTTCTATGACCAATAATAGCTCCAAACTGCATGCACATGTTACCATAGGATGTACCTCACTGTATTTCATAGTTACCTTTATATTACATTTTTTTAATAAGTACCAATAAATAATAAATAACACGATGAATTCACCATAACAACCCTCTTAATTCCCACACCATTGAAGCTTCTACATATAATTTTATATACAAACATCATCAGATATGTCAAAAATGCCATTAAAAAATATTAGAAAAAAATGTCAAAAATAGATTCTGCATCCAGACACCCAAATGTGCCTATACAGAAATATAATCATAATTTCAAATTGTATGATATAAGGGACTGAAAAAAAACAGTATATAGAAAGAAAAAATGGAGATGGGGTGACAGATAGAGAGTAAGCACGCATAGCTTCAAATATGAAACATCATATAAGAAAATACCATGTGTGCTCACTCTCTTCTGTCACCTCCCTTACCATTGATGGAACCAGAGATGCATTATTGATAAACTGCAATCTTGAGTCTTCAAATGATCTCTCTTTATTCTATATAACA